TTCCCCATAGACCTGACCAAACACCCATGGAGACTCTCTTCCTAGGGCATTCTAGATCATGTTAAGTGACAAAGCAAAGATCAAAGATTGTAGCCCTAAGACAGAGAGGCAAAATAAATCCCCTCTTTAGTTGCTGTGATCAAATGGTGACTAGAAGCAATTTAAGAGAGGCCCCGAAGGACGGAGGTTGCTGTTTCCTGTCTTTCTCTCTAGCCTCTGCCTGGGTAGCTTTCCTACACAGCCTGGACTCACGGGACTAGGGACAGTGCCACCCACTGTGATCTGGGCCCTCCCACATCAATTATCAACTAATAAAATGTACCACAGACTTGCCTACAGGACAATCTGGTGGCTCATTTTCTTAACTGAGTTTCCCTCTTGCAAAGTGACTCAACACCCAGCCTGAGAACTTCCCATGAGTGCTGGTGGTCACCTTTGAAGTCGGACTCCCCCCCCCCCCCCCCCCCCCCCCCCCCCCCCCCCCCCGCAGAGCCTGAATCCATTGTTCCCAGTGGTGCTGGCGTGTGCATTTTGCAGAAGATTTTGTGAAGGAGAGAGAAGAAGGTTTTCTTTTGTTTCACATACAAAAAAAGCCCCTTCATCCCCTTTCCCCCCCTTTTCCAGAGACAACCTCCTTGGTACCCTCTTGGCACTAGTCTGCAGGCCTTTGAGATGCAGCCTCCCGCCAAAGTTCTCTCAGCCTCCAGCCAAGAGAAGCACATTTGTTCCTGACGCAGGTGGTGGAGAGACAGAAGATTTACGAGGCATGGCAAAGGAATCTGATTGAAGTCTTTGCTGGCTGAGGATCAAGAATTCTGACATATCTAACAACAAAAAAAATGGCAGTGACAACTGCTTTTCTAGAGATAATGCTGTCCAAACATTAGTATTTCCTGGGGTTGCCACAGCACCCAGGACAGACTGTGTATAGTTCTTCCAGCAATCCTGGGGTCACCAAAGGGGAGTGGAGTGGTCCAATGTCCTGGAAATCTGATGGTGATTCCAAATTTCTACTGTTGTCTCACATCCTAAGTAAACAGTGTCTCTGTGTAGTCTGCCTTTTAAATTTTTTGTATGGTGCTTGGGGAATCAACCAGGGTTTGTATGTTCTAGGCAAGTACTCTTCCTGAGTTACACCCCTAGCCCCCTCTGTTAGTTTCTGTGAGACAAGATCTCAGTCAAGCCCAGGCTGGCTTTAAGCTTGTAGTAATCTTCCTTCCTCAGCTTCCCACACATTCTAATTCAAATAAGTGTGTTGAAAATGGTACTGAGCCATGCATACTTAAGGCCAAAAGCATATGTGACCTTTGGCTTGGACTTCACTTTTCTTAGCTATAAATCTGGAGTTTTCTGAGAACATCACAAATAAAGATTACGAACTTTGTTTATGGTCAGAGCACTGCCTCACAGCATCTGCTGAAAGGTGATTCCACAACACAACATGGTTGACCTGTTTGACAAGGTCTTATTCTGTAGCCAAGGCTAGCCCTGAACCCACAGAGATCCTCCTAGCTCAGCCCCCCATCTGCTGAGCTTGCAGATACATACTACCACACCTGATTTGGCAGATGGTTTCAACCAGTGTGCATAGCTATTTTTCAGTCTACCTCAGAAGTCACTATGGTCTCATTTCCAAAGATAAGTTGGTCAGGTGAGAACAGATAGAATCATCTCAGCTGAAGCCCAAGATGCATCCTATTGCCCGCAGCACTTCATGGTGCTCCTGGTATCTTGGGGGAGCAGACGCCAGGCCTGTTGCTCCACATCCTGCCTTGCATGAGATGCCCAGCCGCAGAGACGCATATGGCCCCAGATCGATGTCTGTGGTGCAGAGACTGAGAAACCCTGGTGGGAGGCAGTGCCGAGGCTCCCCAAGGCTTCTCCAAAGAGTGACCAGGGTGAACAAAAGCATGCCAACCACAGGGTAGGTGTTTCCTGAGACAGTGTTTCTTACTTAATTTGGAACTTGCCAATTTGGCTAGACTGGCTGGCTGGAGATCAGAAATAACTAATATACTCACCAAAACATGAGGACCCGTGGTAGAATATGTTTTCTTGGTCGGACTTGAACACGTACTCTGTTTGTTTGAGACAGGGTCTCCCAATGTAGATCATACTAACCCAGAATTCAGAGATCTGCCTACTTCTGTCTCCCCAGTGCTGGGATTAAAGGTGTGCACCACCATGCTTGCCTTGAACACTGATCACTCATTTGTTCAATGACGACTTTCTTAATTGACTAGTTTTATCCACCGTATATTGTTCTCTAGTGGTCAACACTACACTGGTGGGAATCAAATGGACAAAAATGCTCACCAGCAATAAGACCTGTGATGAGACAGTGAGGTGGAAATATCTGGGTCTTGTTTATAGGGACTCAGCAGAGAAGGCATTTTTGAGGATTGGCAAGGGATGAATGATAAGAAGAACCTGATCACAGATGGATCTGGGGAAGAAAGTTCAGGCAGAGGAATTATCAGTAGCAAAGGCTTCGGGCATTGGCCGATTTGAGTCTAGGGAACAAGGAGGAGGAAGAGCATGCTAGAGGCCCTGGAAGTAGCAGAGAGCTAACAATCAGGGATCCTAGTGCAGGGGAAGAACTGGTTCTCCTACCCTATCTTCCACCCTTCGCTTTAAACAATTGCATGGCTGCCGTGTGGAGGACAGACCTTGGTGGAGGTGAGAGTCAGTGAAAACGGTTTCAGCCAAAGAGGTTGAAATGCTAGGATGTATAGAAAGATATTAAATCTAACCTCAAAAGATTAGCTTAGATTTGAAAGGTGTCAGTTAGCCAAAGAATTAAAATCATGGTATACTTTGATTTCCTGAAGTTAAGGATTTTTGTTGGAGGGAAGGAGAGAGGAAGAGGGGGAGAGAGACAGAGAGGGTGAGGGGTGGTAGGGGAGAGATGGGGATTGAGAAAGAGGGAGATTGAGAGAGAGAGAGAGAGAGAGAGACAGAGAGAGAGACAGAGAGAGAGAGAGAGGGATTGAGAGAGATGTCTGCCTTCCTTGGTTTAGGCAGCAGGCTGGCAGAGCCCTGCCTAGATGGAGGGAGATGATGCACCTTCCTGCCTGAGTCCCAGCATGCATGGACTCCCTCACAAAGATCTGTGAGGCAGATCTGTGGATTGTAGAAGGAACAGGGGCCAGTGGCACCCTGACTTCCAGGGTTGTTCTTCTGAGGAAAGGAAGCCAGCAAAAACATGCAGTTTTGGAAAGTTATACTAGGTAAGATAATAAGGTAGGCCTCTTCGTCCTAACTTATCTTTCTGGAAGCTCACCAAGCTTTCAGGAAGTGGTTGGACGATTCGTTAGAGCCTTCTAACATGAGAGAGCACACCTCTGTCATTCAGGTACAATTCCATCACCCTCCAGCTTCCATGAGAAGAGTACAGTAGCCTGTGTATTAGTTACTTTTCTCATTGCGGAGACTACCTGACAAAAAAACACCTTGAGGCAGCATTTATTGTTTTGCCTCATAGAGGATACATTGCCCATCGTGGTGTGGCAGGAGTCTGGGGTAGCTGGCCATGTGCCACCCACAGTCAGGAAGCAAAGAACAGGAACTGGGACTGGGTTTCCAAATTACTTCCTCCAGCTGAGCCCCACTTTGAGACATCCTTCCAAAACATCACCCTCCCCCAGGGAATTGAGTGTCTAAACACATAAGCTATGGGAGGCATTTCCCGTTCAAACCATGGCAGAGCTGATGAGGGGACGCGGGCTGCACAGCCTGAGGTAGAATCTCCATGTGTGCATCTGTCAGCTGAGTTCCCCCTGGAACTCTCCCTAACCTGGATTTCAGAGATCTCCTCTGTAGCATGCACATAAGCCAGAGCATCTGCCTTGTAGTGTGTTGCAAGGGTTCACCCGGTAAATGCCCATGAAATGCTTTCTCGGCTCCTGGCACAGGCCAGCACTCTGTGGAGACTGGCACCAGGCTTGTTTGAAAGTCCTCTGTGCCAACTCTACTGAAAACATTGGCCCTCTAACCAGCAGCCAAATCCCAGGGGAGAGTCAGACAGAGCAGAATCTTCTTTTAGGATCCCACTCAGACCCACGGACCCAGAGTACACACCTGAGAAAAAGGCTGGGTGATTCTTGGGGTGCTCCTGTCTGAATGTGCCCCTGAGAACTGATGTTCACAGTAAGAACTGGGGACTGTTTGACTGTGGAAATCTGTTGACAGCAACATTTTGGTGCCAAAAGATGTCAGCACCAGGACACAGGATATACCTCGGCCCAACTCTCTGGGCATCTTCACGGTCCTTTAAGCCCCTTGGGACTATGTGTGTTCACATCCAAAGTGACGCCACTTAAGGATTTGATAACAGGCAGAGATGAAACAATGTGAAAAGTGATACAAAAACAGGAAAAAGAAGTGTTTTTTGTTTGTTTGTTTGCTTGTTTGTTTGTTTTTTAAATCTTGCTTACTTAGAGCAAGGACATTACAATACCTATAGCTGATCCTGTAGTTTTGATTTTTTTTATTTTCCCTAGCTGCTTCCCGAGTAGCAACCAATGATTCCTTTTATTTAGTCTTTTAATTAAAATAGTGAGGACTGACAGTGGGGGGAGAATCCAGAAGCCTGGTAATTTGGGAAACCAAATGGGAGAGTTCTGTGGTTTGTCTAAAAGGAATTGCATTAGAAAACATGAGCTTTCTCGCCCCTGTCACTTTTAAGATTTATTTTTATCTTATAGATATGGGTCCTCTGCCTGATCTGCATATACCACATGCACGCAGTGTTCTCAGAAGCCAGAAGAGAGTGTCAGATCTGGAACTGGAGTTACAAATGGTTGTGAGCCACCATGGGGGTTCCGGGAGTGGAACCCCAGCCTCCTGCCAAGATCAGCCAATGCCCTTAACCACTGATCCATCTCTCCAGCCCTCAGCGCTGTTTTAACACCATTTATATAGATCCTGTGCTGTGTCTGTACGTGGGGGGGGGGGCACAGGATGACTCCGCACCACAATAACACACGTGTTTAGGGGTCACAAAAGCCAAAGCCTTTATTATCTCTAAACATCATGATCAAAGCAGGAAACAAATGATGTCTACTAAAATGTTAGCAGGAAAAATTCATGCACGGTCCCTCCACCTCATATATTCAAGAGCAGGAAAACACAGGCGGAGGGGGTGGTGCTAGCTAAAGTTGTCGAGGGTAAGAGGGAGCTGACAGTTGCCAGCAGCACACAGTGTTACACAGCATGTTTGCACATCTCGCCCTGCGGTGGTGGGGGTGACCGCTTCACTTGACAAGGTACAGATGTTGCCAACAGGGTCATTTGACTTTAACATCACATCTAGCAAAAGAAGCAACAGCCAAACACACAGCCTCTCTCATAGATGATGTGGAAATAACCACTTGATAGACACACAGTTGCCGGGAGGCGGGAAAGGAGCTTCAGAGTAAGGGAGGAAAGGAGCTGGAGGCAGTTCCAGCTGCTCAAACCACCATCAATGACAGCAAAGCCGTTTCCAGTGAAGCTCACCCGGCCTGCCCGCCATTCCTTCTCATTTGAAAGGCAGAGAAGCAACAGTCCATCATTTTAAAAGGATAACACCTACCTTGACATGACCAGGAATCAAAGTCCAAGGATACAAGGACCTCTCACTGGCTAGAGCACTTTGATTCAGTAGGTTCTGAAGTTTAGATTTAATGAATGAAACCCCAATAATAGTAACAACCGTGACAACAGCGCAGAGAGGCCATACCTCCGTGCTATTTTCTTTTCAAAGGGGCCGGGGAGGCTGGCATGGATGTGAGGACTGGAAGGGAGAAAAGGACATCACACAGTTTTTACACAGTTATAACGGCGTGAGCAGGAGGGAACTCAGTCTCTCACAGAATATGTGCAAAGTTCTTCTCTAGCCGGCAGCTGGAGGTGGTGGCTGTGAGCAGATTTGCTTGCTGGGGGGAGGGCTGAGCACTCTTTCTGTTCACAAGAGCCCTCCTGTCACGTTGGCTTGAAGCACAGAGTTACTAGTACAAAGCAGGTGAGCAGGCAGGAAGCACAAGCCCCCGGGTGCCTAGCAATGAACACAGACGACACCCAGCGCAGGCTTCCCTGATTCTTCCGGAGACGATGGGGTAGAGCAGACTGACTTACCCACACGCAGATCCTCATAGACGGCCCATTCTACGCCACTTCTCCCTTTGCAAAGGGCCATCAGAAGGCAAGTGCTGTTATGTTAATATTCTTTAGGTCTCTCCTAAGCCCCTTGGCTAGCTCTCTAGCCCCTCTGAGGGGCATTCTAGCCCAAGTTCATGCCATTGCAGCCGCAGAGAATCTCCTTGAATGTGTTTCGCAGCTCCAGGCTGCGGAAGGCATAGATGAGGGGGTCAATGACAGAGTTGCACATGATGAGGACCAGGTAGGTGTTGAAGTGGGCCGTGTAGCAGATGCAGTAAGGGTTGGTGGGGCAGGTGATGATGAGGACCAGGTGGAGGAAAAAAGGTGCCCAGCAGAAGATGAAAACCCCCAGCAGGATGGTGATGGTGACAGCCCCCTTCATGCATGAGTGCTGCTGGGGGGCCACGCCGTCCGCGGGCGGCAACGCCGCAATGCGCTGGACGTGCAGCCTGGCAAAGAGGAACATGTGGATGTACAGGGTGCCCATGAGGAGCACCATGGCGAAGAACATGGTGATGAGGCACACAATGACCATCTTGCTCTCGGAGTAGATGATGAACATCACGCCGCAGATGCCGCAGCCGACCCAGATGGCCACGATCAAGGCCAGGGCCTTCCTCACGGTCATGATGCTGTGGTAGCGAAGGGCATAGAAGATGGTGACGTACCTGTCCACAGCGATGGCCAGGAGGTTGCAGATGGAGGCCACCAGGGAGATGCAGATCATGGAGTCAAAGATGTTATCCATGTACTGGATGAACTGGTCCTCCAAGGTCAGGGAGTCGCTGTTGATAATGGCGATCATGATGGTCTCCAGAGAGTTGGACAGGCTCACCAGCATGTCGGCTGCAGCCAGGCTGCATAGAAAGAAGTACATGGGAGAGTGCAGGTTGCCATTCCTGACCACAGCCAGGATCACCAGGATATTTTCCATCAGGCTCACGATGCCCAGCGCCAGGAAGACCTCTGGCTTGATGAAGACCTGCTCACAGAACCCGCTGCTGGTCCTGTTGCTGGCAGAAGGGGCTGCAGGGTGCTCTGGGGAGTTAGGCAGCACCGGGTAAGCAGAGAACAGGCAGCAGGAAGAGTTCATGGTTAACAGATGGGCAGTTCCAGCTTCGGCTCCTGCAGGGTCCTGAGCTCCTGAGCTGCTGGAAGAAACTCTCCCTCTAGGTGCTTCTCTTGTGGATGCTGTCCAGTTTAGACTTTAGTTCTCTCCAGAGAGAGAGAGAGAGAGAGAGAGAAAGCTCGGAGACATGGAAAGAACTTTCCTTTGCTGTCGTTCTGACTCTCTCTCTCCTGGTCTCTACCCGACACCCGTTGCTACAGTGACAGCTCTACTCATAAGGAGGTAGGGGTTGTGGGACTTAACGCTAGATGTGAGAAGGGAGAGCACTCGGGTTTTATGCATCGGAACTCCTACTTCATCTCCAGCGCAGCAAAATGACCACTGAGCAGCTGGCGCCCTCTGACTGACAGCAAGTCTGAGCTCGGGGTTCCTCTGGGGAGATGAGGAAGCAGACTGGCGCCCTCTGCAGGCCGGACTGCTCACCTGCGCTCCTGTGGGAAAAGAGACCCCGTTCATTCTCCCGTGGGTGAGTGCGTTTGTGGGTTGGTATGGGTCAGGTTTGCACTGGGTGTGAGGAATAAGGAAGGCAAGAAGAGAAGTGCTGGCCAAGCTCCTGCCCCTACCCTCACAGACCCCCCCCCCCCGCAACTAGAATCTGGGGTGAAAGAAGAGAAATCTGAGTCTTGTACACACACACACACACTGGCAATCTTGCAAGCTTCACTGAGGAAACCCATAGTAACACAACGATGTGAGTTACACCAATTTTTGTTTCTTTCCAAGAACATAAAAAAACCACATCTGCACTAATAGTTCATTAAATGGGTACTCAACCAGTCCTTGGCCCTTCAAGAAGTCTCAACCTTTTTTGCTTTGGGAGAGGAGTATCTTGCTCCAATGCTGATGGCTCCTGATTGGTCAGGGTATGATTTCTAGAGGCTAGGGTGCTCCTTGCTACTTTCTGAATTATATCAACTTCTGGGCCTGGTAGTGATGTAGGCTGGTGTGAGCAGAAGTTTCCTGTTTGTGGAGAGTTGGGATGTGTATATTCATGGCCAAATTATCTTGGGCTGCTTAATATTTTTTTTTTTTTTTGAGACAGGGTCTCATGTACACCAGGATGGCTTTGAACTGACTATGTAGTCAAAGAGGAGCTTAAACTCCTGATCCTCCTGCCTTTGTCTTCTGACTGCAGGGATTATGGGCGTGTGCCAACCACATCCTATGTATGTGGTGTTGGGGACTGAACCCAGCTTCACACACGCTAGGTAGGCACTCTGCCAACTAAGCCACGTCTCCCAGCCTATCTTTGGCTATACTCAGACCATGTAACAGCCATTTAATGTCCAACTCTTCACGTGATGTAATGTCCTGTGGCTACCACCTACCACGTGAGGTCTTGGGGAATGCAGTAAGTTAGCAGATCATCAATTTCCATCAGCTGCAAAGTTAAGCATTTGAAACCTGAATCAAGAAGCCTCCCACTTTGCTGCCACGACTACAGCCTCTCCCCACTAACATGTTTGAAAAGCACCTGGATTTATTACTTTCTTTTGTTTTGTATCTATGAAAACATTTACGCACTGACACGTGATGTCTGGGGTAAGCTGAGTCCAAATTTACCAGCCATGGGGATGTAGCTCAGTGGAAGAGCACTTGTCTAATACGTAAGGAGCCGAGCTCAAGCTCCAGTGCTCCAAATCAGACAAAACACAACAACAGCGAAGCTACTGGACCGAATGATTCTTCCTCTCTTCAGATCTTTTTTTTTCTCTGCAGTGTTCTGTGCTCTTTGGTGGCCTTTCACTCACAATAGAGCTTCTCTTTTTAGATGGGGTTTGTGCCTCGTAGATCCTGCTGCAACCTGGCCAGCTGAGTCTGTGTGGTTCAGTATAGCACAGTGTGACGGACACAGTCGGGAAAGTCTAGTGGCCCATGGGGCAAAGGGGAGGGGTTCCAATCTGGATGGTCAAGGAACCTTTCTAGACTAAGGAGCATGTAGGCTTTGACTTCTATGAAGAGGTGAAATCCGGTGTACAGGCTGGTGGGCTGGGGGCTGGGGTTGAAGAAGGTGGAAGGGGACCAAGGGAGGAGCTGCCCCCTGATAGGGCTGAGGTAGAGGAGGGCTCTGGGCAGAGGGACAGCCATGCTTACAAATCTGGTGGGACTAGCCATCTGTAGCATTTGGGCATGAGGGTCTCACTTGACCTCTGAAGCAGTATGAGCCAGGGCTGCACCATTTTGTTAAACTCCTCAGTTTTGGTTGACTGTGATAATTCTCTAAACTACAGTAATTTGATATCCAGAACTTTAGGATCTCATTTCTCTAGATTCTTCCCTCCCCTTGTACTGCCAGTAATGGCCAGCCAGGAGAGATGGTTATCGATCACTTGACATTCTTCAGCTGAATACTCACTGGTTACCCCTAGCAACGGCCAACTGTGGCCAAAATGAAACTTTTCAATTCAAGTAGAAGAAAATTTAGAATACTCTTAAAAACTTTAGGCTGAAGAAATTGTTTTAAGATGGACAAACTCAAGTTTACTATGTAGTTGACTGCTAAACAAAGCCAGAAGACAAGAAAGGATGAGTTCTAAATTTCATAGATGAAGTTCATTTTCACACTAATAGAAAATAGAACTGCTAGCTGAGGAAACTGGGCAGAGGGTGTGAATATGAATTGGCCTAGAACTAAATGTGAATGGGTGATAAAAACATGAAAAGGTGCTAAACCATTGGGGAAGCAGGGGGATGCAGATGAAGACGGGATCTCAACTGTTTCTCCTGCTGCATTGCAGGAGTTAAAAAGCTGGCAAGCTCTGAAGAGAATGTTAGAACTCTCTCACTGCCTTCCCAGTGTTTGTAAACAGATTCCTAAGCTGTCAGTTTCTGCTAAAATAACACGGATCGGGGGGTTGGGCATCTCAGCCAGTGAGCTGAGGGGTGTGAAGTATTCTTAAAAATGTGATTTCTGATCCTAAGCCAATATTCTTCCAGGGTGCAGGAAAGCAATCGTAAACTTTTGGCCACTTCTTGTCCCCAGGGTCACACCCAGAGGTGTGTTCATATCATCTGGGTCTGTGTGTTTGAGGGCACGGGCATCATGGGTAAAGCTGGAGAGCACCCGAGAAACAATAGCCATGAGTTTTTCCTGTTCTGTACTTGGCCTGGGAACACTTCTGGGTTTCCATTCTCTGGTGTGCACATCCTTTGGGGAGAACATAGGGATTTTACACTTTCAAGATGCATGTGATATCCTCATGTGATAGCACTTTAAAACTGCTTTTTCGTAAAAAAAAAAAAAAAAAAAAAAGCAAAACACCTTAGCAGTGAATTCTCACTTGGGCCCATCAGGTAACTAAAAGATTGATGAAGGCTGAGCATTGCTGCCCTCATTTGTGTCTGCCTACCTAACCCAGCTTAGGATTCTTCTTTAGGGCTGATGACAGAATGGGCTGTTTTCCCGAACCAGCGGCCACCTCAGACAACTCTTCACCTTAGTAAGAGTGAAGACTGGGCAGATTCACAGACCTCATTCCCTCCAGATGAGGGCAACTGTCCCTGAGGGTGAAGCTGCACTTGGGAGCTGAGCAAACCCTCTTGTAGACCGGTGACCTCTGAGGTAATGCCACCCCACAGCTGAGACGATGATAGGTCAATGATGGGCAAGACAATTTGGCCAGGACTGCTTAATTATGCATGCCAGTAACTCTTAGTTTTTATGTGAGTGTGTGTTTGTGGATGTGGAAGTATAATTGCAAAATACGTGCATGTGTGCCTGTGGAGACCAGAGGTTAATCTTCAGTTTTGTGTCTCAGGTGCTCTTCAGCTTGTTTTTGAGGCAGGATCTCTCTCTGACCTCAGAGCTTGTTCATTAGGCTGGGCTGGGCTAGACCATTAGGCTAGGCTGTACTCACTGACCCCCAAAGACTGGATCCTCCTGTCTCTGTCTCCTCAGCACTGGGATTCCCATCATAAACATGCCCAGATTTTTTATGTGTTCACAGGAGTTCAAACACAGCAGGCAATTTGCTGACAGAACCGTCTTCCCATACAACTATTATTTGGCTCTTTAATTGATGTATTGGATTGTGTGCCTGAGCCTGGCTTGTTGCAGCTGCTGGCTGGGGGTTTTGCCCTAAAACTCTGGCTACGCTCCAGCTACTAAGGAGCACTGACTTGGTCTCTGGACTCCCCTCCTTTCTGAGAGAACCACACAGATGCAATTCTGCATTTCAGCTGAATCTCCTGTAAATGCATTGGCTTTATTTTAGTAATTGCAAGACATGACTGTGTCTGCTGTGTTTGCCACGTGATGCTGGCACATGTGAGGATTCCTGTGTTGAATCTGTGGTCATAAACCATCCTAAAAATTTAGAGTGGATTAGGAGAAAATCCTCCCAGATGTTCTTTGTGCTCAGAAAGCATCTTCAGTCCTGTAGCTGGCATATTCCTGTTCCCTTTCAAGATCCAGCTTAAATGTCAACTTAAAAATTTTTTTCCTCAATTTTCCATATGCCAGCTTAGACTTTGCCACAAAATCTCTCAAACCAGGCCAGCAGGGTTCAGCACACCTTCGTTATTCTCAAAAGCACACAAAAGCAAAAAAGAATACATGAGTCGGATTTCATCAAAATGGAAAATTTTGTATTTTAAAAACTGCCAAGAAAGTGAGTGCCCAGCCCACAGATTTGGAGAAAGGCACTGGAAAGCAGACAGTCTGCTGAGTGGCTCACACTTAGAACACAGAAAATGTGTCTAATCCACTCAGAAGGCCAAAAAGCCTCTTTAAAAATGGCCGGTAAATCATCTCCATCTGATTATTATGAACTGTGCTTGTGTATTTTATCGTATCATTCCCAGTCCCATAAATGTTTTCAAGATTTATGTGCTGATTAAAATATATTAGAAGTAAGTAGCAAAGGATCTGTTCAGACACTTCACCAAAAGAGATAGCCAATGTCCAACAAGGGGCTGGACAAATGGCACAGGAGTTAAGAGCACATTCTGCTCTTGCAGAGGACCTGAGTACAGTTCAGCACCCATGTTGTGTGGCTCACAGCTGGCTGTAACTCCAGCTCTCCGGGATCTAAGGCCTTCTTCTGGCTTCCGTGGGCAGGTACTTGCACTCACATACACAGCACACAGGCATACTCACATACATAACTAAATATAATAAAATAAATCTTTAAAAAAATGTCCAACAAGCACTCAACATCATTAGCCATTACAGAAGTACTAAAAATCCATTAACATTTATTGGATTGTACGACTTATGCAGACTTTATGATTCAGTACTTTACGTCAATTAAAGCTATCTTTAAAATAGCATGAATGTTGTACAATTAGAA